ACTACTTTGTGATTTAACCAACCTACAGGGCAAATTAAATTTAACTAGAATGAGGAAAAGGTATTGCCAAAAAGTATTCAATTAGAAATTTTTCTGGATCCATAATTACAGGAAAACTCAGTCTGTTACCTTTCCTCTCATTGCAGTCACGTTTCTCTCAAACATATGTCAGCATTTCAGTGTCCTTAACACCTATTTACTTGAGAAAGACCTGACAAAACTATGATCATTAATTGATTCTGCCCTAATTGCTTTGAAATCTCTAATTCTTTCTCCAATCTTCTCTAAAGCTCCCAGATGTCAAGTTAAGCTTAAAAATTTTATATATGTTTAATGTATAAAAATGGTCAGAAAGTTAAATACTGAGCTGACCCAGCAAAATATCTGTGGGTTTTTATACTTCAAGTTATTCAGTCCCAACATTTACAAGTTTCCATGCTGTAAAACCTCATGGGAGTAGAAAAAACATTTTTACTACAACTTAGAGCTGTATATGCCCAAGTAATCTGATACAACAAATTATCAGTAAAAACAGAGGACAATCAATACTTTTACCACATCTTAATCTGTTCGGAGAGCGTCTCTCCTGTGGAAAACCCCTGACTGATACTAATAAAGCAAACACCTTCACGAGGTAATTGTACTTATTGCTGACATCCTAAACATCCTGGCCTGACTCCGACCCTGTGGTACAGCCTCTGGGAGGAAATTCACATGAACAGCTGAGCCATATACAGCTTAAAATGGTATATACTGCAAATTTAACTGGTGTTAATTCCCTCTCTTAACTCTGCTCTCCCTCTCTCAACTCTGCTCTCCCTCTCTCGTGCTCTCCTTCCCCCTTCAGCAAGGAATTAAGGTTTTCTGTTTCTGGAATTTTTGCCTGCTGGTGATAGAATTTTTTTCTTTGCTGTACAAATGCATGATGTTGTTTATACTCACATACTTCAGAAGGCTGCCTTTTCTTCTTTTGTTACAGGTTGTGTATTAGCCAGACATCTCCCTATTTTTTTTTTCTGTAACTAACTAATTGATCGATTGTTCACAGCACAATTGTTGGAGAGGGAAGAGATCTCTATTAATTAATTGGTAAATGGACATGCAAAATAACAGATGTTTGAAACGCAGAAAACAGAATATAATATACTGCCTTTGAATGAATAAACAATGTGTGGGAAAAAATAAACCAAAGATGCACAACCCCCTACCCTGCTGCTTTCAGGGACAATGGCCTTTTGTCTCAAAACTCATCCAACCAGAAGGTGGTTTGTACTCTCCAGAAGCACTGATTCAGATGATGTCTGCCTTTGACAAGAGTTCATTCCCCATGATGGGGGGCTGTCCTTGCCTCAAATCCACCTTAAGTGTCCTGTATTGCTGCTGATCTAAGCCTTACAAATTCTTTTTAGATATTATTTCTGGAATATGCTTTTTCTAACTATATATATGTTTGTTCTAAAATTATTCCAGCTCATTTTGTCTAAAGTCTAACAATAAATTATATCTTGGGAAAAAAAGATTATACGTGCTTTTGTGTAATGTGTTGGTTTTTTGTGCAATATATGTGTTCAGGAAACTTTTTAGCTATGTTGATTTGTCTTGGATAAAGATCAGCTCTCTGGGTTGCTCCTCAGCTATGAAAATTTGTTATAGTCTAAAACATATTCTCTGACATCTTTGACATAATATCATTTTAAACAAGACTTTGCTCCAGTCTGACATAATAACATGCTATTCATGGTTAATCCTATGCCCCAGCAGCATGCTTTCAAACAGAAGCAATATTTTCAATAGACATTCTTGCTGCTGTACAATTCTGGAAGAGAGATTACAGGGTTCTGTTATGTTAAATACAGGTGAATTTTTAATTATTTTCATTTTTATTTTTTTTGCTGTTTGTTGTCACTGTTGCTTTAATCACAGAAGATAAAAATAGTAGAACAAATGACCAGAAGAGGTGATCAGTACTATAAACTCCATCTGATCCTCAGTAATTTCTTTAAAGATAGAATGTGAATCCCTCTGGCATATATGGGAATTTTCCCACTAGCCTCAGTGGGAGTTAACCCAGGTTTAACATTCTCAGTATAAGTAATTAAATACTTATGCTGAATTAAATAAGTGCATAGCACTGTGCCCTCATGTATTTCAATCTTCCAGTAGGGCTGATGAGCTCAAGCACATCATGGGGGCACGGTAAACTAGATCTGTTTTGTGTTAACCTGATCACCTGACTCAACATATGAACAAGGCATGTCACCCCTGTGCCCGTGGCTGTCCTTGCAGACACAGTTACGGGTGCAGGGCACTTCAGCAGCTCTGGGATGAAGTGCAAATCTAAGCAGGCACTCTAAGGGTCCTGATGGTTCAGCTTAGAAGGCATTGTTTGTCTTCCCTGGCTATAATCATAGTCTGTCTAAAGCCTTGTGTGCACGAGAAAGTTATTGTGAAGTAAACCAGGGTGGCAGAGGAAAACCAGAAGAGTTGTTATGCACTGACTTCAGGTGCAGATCTCCCACTCTGGGATACAAGTGCACCCTCACCACTCAGCTCAACCCCTGTCCATAGAAAGCTTACTCGAAGTAGCTAGAAAACTGAGTTCAAAGCCATTAACAGTCAGAGTAATTGTGATCGCATTGTAAATTTACTCCACAGTACTTCTCCATATTGGAAGACGAATGTACTCTTGATTCACTGCACCAATACTGAATAAAGTGTATGTTGCAGCATCTTGAAAATTGGCCAAACAATGCAGGAGTTCATATCCTGTCAGCCCCATCAATGGCAGTGTTGGTTTTCATAAACCACATTAATTGAAGGCAGTATGGAAGATTCTTGCTGAGCCAGGGTTTGGGACTGTGGCCCTTGTCTCACGGCAAGAAAGGGAGACTTGAGCTCTTTAGATCCACCTCTTCTAAACTACTTAGTCAATTAACATTTATGGATGTTTGGATTGTTTGGAAAATTGGTCTTGTGATAAGTAGAGGTACCAGTTTTATTCCAAGCAAATTAAAATAAACAGAGGGTACTAACAAAAGAACTATTTCTATATAGATATACTATTTATATATATATAATATTATATATATATTTATATATATTTATATATATATGTTCTAACTTATAGGCGTACCGTGGAGACTATAAGGTGAAGGGTCCTGTCTGGACCTTCACCAGGGAATCTTTTGCGGCCAGGAACAGGGAACAAATTATAAATAAAAATGTATTCCTCTGTGCCATGTGGATACACAGAGAGACACCCCATGCCTTGCAATGTGAGGATGATGCAAGACCCCCCTGAGCCCAGGGGAGATAAGTTACAACCAGCCAAAAGGTAACACCCACCTCCAAAGCAGGGAAATTACCTTTTAAGGCAACAAACGGACAATGAATGAATATTCAACAACTGATATCGAAAGGTACAAAAAGCGCGGTTTTCAAACAATGTGTGTGCTCTTTGTATGATTCAGAGGTGCACCCAGTGCTGGAAATGGGTAACCAGCATTGCAATAAAAAACTCTTTCTATATTTCTTTGTCTTGCAGGTATTTTTGCTGTCTTCAAAATTCAAGAAAAGAAGCAACTTGTAACAGGTCTGAGGCCCAAATTTACAAAAATATTACAAAGAAGTATCTAGTTTCTAATCCATTTCCTTGGGAATCTGAGGACTATATACCTTTGGGAATTTGGGCCTCAGATATTTTTTTCCATGTTTTCATTGTACCTGATCTAAACTTCAGTTTTTCCTCAAAACTAAGGAATTTAACATTCTAAATATTATTTAAGTGTCACCTGTAAATTGTGAATATCATTAAGCTGATTTGAGGCAGTGGATGAACTGGAAACCTAGCCATAAAAACAGAGATGGGAAAGTGGAGTATCTTGTCTAAACATTTCTCTACCAGTACAGGATTGTTCCATATGCCATACTTCCTGCGATGTGATGGAACATAGTTCAACTATTGAGTGATTTCAGATAGCTCCTAACGTTCTTTATTACGTAACTTGTGTAGTTCAAGAGCTGGCAGCTTCAAAAAGAAAAATCAAACTATTGTACCAACGCACTAAGATTTATGGTGTGCCCAGAATCAAACCTTCTGTGGCACTGAACAGAAGCCTGATGTGCTGTGGCTGGGGACACAGGGGCCTTCCCATCTCTGCTGCTCTCTACCTCGTTTCTGCCAGCATTCAGAACTGACTGAAGCTGCCTTAGCCTGACAATAGCACTGGGGTTATGATGTTGACTATTGTAATAATGCTCTTGCAGGACTTAAATAGTTTATTCACCTTGACTTCTCACCCAGGCTAAATAAAAATTAGTCTTATAGGACATCTCCCTCCTGGAACAGCAGTGCTGCCCCAGAGCAGCAAGCTGACTGCAGAAAAGTCTGTCCATGAAGTTCTTGGGGTGAAGCACAAAGAGGAAAAGTAATGTGGAAATTGGGAAATGCACACAGAGATACAAAATTATTATGTTGTTTGAGTATTTTCTAAAAAAAACCTTGAAAGGAATCAGTCAGGGAGAGTGGGGTGCTGGCTAGCCAGATGCAGGACATATCACTCCTCTGAGATAGAGCTTGTCCTCAGAGCTGAAAACATCTTTTGAGAATCTTCGCCGGAGCCTGGAAAGCAAAACACATAATGGAAATGCCAAGCAGCTCTCACCGTCCCCTTCACGTCAAACCTGTTCACAACACCGAGACAAGGAAGGCCTCGCGTCTGAATGGGAAACTCGCCCTGCTCCTTTCCCTCAGCGTCTTACCCTTTCCTTCCGCATCTCTCCCTCAGCATCTCTTCCCTCCTGTCCTCCCCGCTACCCCCGGGGTGAGTTTGTCTGCCCGGGGCCCCGCTGTCTGCCCTGCCCCTCGCAGTCCCAGGGCCGGGGGCTCCAGCGGGGGCTGCGGGGCCGGACCAGCTGAGGTGCCGCCGGTCCCGCCCCGCCTCGCCCCGGCTCCGCCCGCCAGCCCCGCACGGCGGAGCGGCCCCGGCGGGAGCGGCAGCAGCAGCGGCAGCGGCGGCCACCGGGATGCGGCGGGGAGCGGGTCCGGGGCGGCGATGGGCGCTGCTGTGGGCGCTGCTGTGGGCGCTGTGCTGCGCCGCGGCGGGCGGCGGCGGGCGGAGAAGGGCCGCCAGCCTGGGCGAGATGCTGCGGGAGGTGGAGGCGCTGATGGAGGACACGCAGCACAAACTGCGCAACGCGGTGCAGGAGGTGAGGGGGCGGCAGGGGGTGGGTGGGTGAGGGGCTCCTTCGTCCCGCAGCTCCCCGGGCCGAGCCGCACCTGCGTGCAGCGTCGCCAGCATCCCTGAGCCCGATGAGGGACAAAGGAGCGGGCGGGCGGCCCTGCCGGGAGGAGCCGCAGCCCGGGGCGGGACCTGAGCGCTCCCGGAGTGCCCCCGGCGCGGTACCCGCTGTCCCCCGAAGGCGGGGCAGGGATGGGATGGGGGGACCGGCCGCGGGGTCCCGGCGCTGCCCCGGCGCTGTCGCTGCCCCCCCGTAGCCTCCTCGCCCCTCGGGGCTCGCCGAGTGCGGCATCCCAGCGCTGCGATGGCCCCGGACAGCCACCCTCCCAGCGGTGCCAGCGGACAGAGAGGCAAAGGTGCGGGCAAACAGTCCCGTCTGGATCCCGGAGTGAGAAGGGAACAGTATGTGGCGAGGGGAGGAGTGAAGGGAAGAATTAGTTGTATTGTCTTGGTGCAGCAGGAACTAAGACACACGACTATCTCAAACCAGGATTCAAAGCTGTGAGATAGTCCTGAAAACATGTGTGGAGAAACAGCTTACTTGAGAGGTAATTCCGTGTCTTGATCTCAAGTTGCTGGCCCGGAATCGCACAGGACCTGTTTCAAAGCCAGGAATTGAGATAAGACCCCGAGCCATTGTCTCATACTGCTTGTCAAAATACTTAGTCCCCGCATTCCCCTTTCTTGTATGCTTTTCCCCTCCTTCGTGTTAAGAATCTTCCAGGTTCTCTTTTCCTCTCACTTAAAAATACATAGTCAAAAAACCTTTGTCACTGAAAACCCACGGGGGAAACAGACTTTAGTTTATTCTAATTAGATAATTTCTGAACTTCTACATAGTCATCTGGACAGTTGCTGTAATATGCCTCTGTCATCCACTTCATTTAGACTGCAAACACATTGAGACCAACCATTCTTTACAGTGCTGCAAATATGCTTAGTTATAAATAAGGATGTTGTCAAAATTTCTGCCTGTTTTACTCTTCCTATAGTCAGTTCTGGACTGAGGAATGGTCTGTCTACTGCACAAACTGTGTATTGTTTGAGCTGTGTCTTTACACTTTAAAAGATTTGCAGCTGTTGTTTAAAATAAACAGACACACCAAAAAGAGAAATTTTGTCTTGCGAAAAATTCAGTTGTTCAGCCTGGCTGAACTTGTGGCCTCCTAGCTCCATTACAGCGGTTCCAAATAACAAAGGGATATGATTTATTCAGAGTTGGTGTTGTTTATAAGACTCATGCCCTTCTTCATCTGGCAAACAAAGACAGTGGGAACTGAAATAGGGAATGAAATTCCTTATCTACAGGACTGCTGCTGTTGATTTCAAGGGGCTTTGTATATGCCTCTCTGTCCTGCCAGAATATTTTCTCTTCTTTGTCAGGTAGGAAAGTCTATCTTAAATCTTTAGTGGTTTTGTGGGAAAAAATAGAAAGTTGGGCTCTTGACTGGCATCAGCCTGTGCAGTTGTTCATTAGGCTGCACCCTTTTTCCTCACAGGGAGTGATTTTGGCTCCAACAGCCCAGAGCTCAAGAGTTTAGCTCCCCACTGTTTTTCTAGTCCATTAGAAGAGCTGCTATGCTCAGTGTCTGAAGCAGCTGAGTAAGCATTCTCTTCCAGGGACATCTGTGCTAACAGCAGCATGTCATTAAACAGAGTGCTACTGAGAGCTGCACAAGAAGCTTTGCTTCTTCTCTTTTGTGTAATTTTTTCCTAATTTTCAGGGTTTTTTATTATTATTATTATTATTACTATTATTTTTAAATTTGGCAGATGGAAGCTGAAGAGGAAGGGGCAAAAAAACTGTCAGAAGTAAACTTTGAAAACTTGCCTCCCAACTACCATAATGAGTCCAACAAGGAAACCAGAATTGGTAACAGAACTGTTCAGACTCATCAAGAAATTGATAAGGTATGAGAAAACACGTATGCGGTGAGCTGTTCATTCTTACACACCTTTCCTTCAAAAATAAAAACAATTTTGTCTGTTTTGGGGAGGAATAAAATAATTTGGAGCATAAACTTTCCTGATGATAATTACTTGTGGGTTTTATTACATCTTACGTGCTTGATTAGTCACTGTGTAAGGACACATCATAAAAGGTTAATGTGAAATAATAATTTATTTTGAGAAACATGCCTCCTAAAAACAGAACACAGCTACAGCTATTACTTGGGTCATAAAAGAATGACCATCTCCTGCTCAGCCAGCTTCATCACAGTGACATTTCAAATAGTTAAAGAGGTAGCCTTGTCATCTACTTTCCCCCCTCAGAATAGCATTTAATATGAATGACAGCAAAATGGGGAAAAAAGGGGGGGGTGGGAGAAAAATGTGGTATGATATTTTGTTCTTCTTTTGCTGTGTCAGGTTACAGACAATAAAACTGGATCAACAGTTTTTTCTGAAACAGTTATTACATCTATAAGAGATGGAGAAAACAAAAGAAATCATGTAAGTGAACACATTTTTTGCTTTTGAAAAATCAAACAAATATTTGTGGGTTAGTTGTTCAGAAAACTGTGATAGAATTCGCCTAGCAAAATTTTAGAATTCTTAAAAAGACACAAAACCATTGGGGCAAGCAGTCAAAAATATTTGTGGTTTTAATTAATTTAACTTAGGAATATTATGAATTGGAAACAGAGTTTCAATGAGGTGTTTGACTTGAATATTCAATATGTCTATCAAAAAGCAAAGATGGTTACATAGCCCTTTCCAGTGAGTGTGAGTAAACCCTTAGTATAACAGTGCTCTTATAATTCATAAAAAAATTGCTTTATAAACTTATAACAAACCCCTAATCTTCTATTGTGAGAGATCTGTGGAACAATATATGGCTCTATTTGCTTTTCAGTCCAACACAGTGATGGAGAACTGGTTGTGAAATGTCACTTTGGGGAGGGGGGAGAGAAATGGGACAATAAATCTCCCTCCTCTCTGGAAATACAGTTGTTTAAGGATTCTCAAAGAGTCCTAAAACAATGTTCTTTACCTGAGTCTTGCAAACAGGCCCATTTGCTAAACATCAGTAGTCCCATGAGAAATTCAGCATGTACCACTGCTTAGAACAACTGGTAGATTTTCTTTGGTTATAGTCTGACCAAAATGGACTTTTTTTTTTGTGCTCTTACTAAGACTTGGCTTGCCAGTGTTTCCTTAGATGGCTGGTTTCATCTGACTAATAGTTTGTGGTTTAATTTAGTTTAACATGTCCTGGCTTTTTTCGTGTAACTTAACTCCAGACCTTTCACAGAAGGAGCTCTTTAACTATTTTATAGAACACTGAAAAAAAATTATGGGAGTAGTTCCTATTTTTAATGAGCATAAAGGCTGAAATTAGTGCATCTTTTCTTGTATCATCTTCTAAAGTTTTCCCTCTTTCAGCTCATATTTTTCATGCTGCTACTAAAGTCTGAGAAGGACAAGTAGCAAAAGAAAACTTTTGTTTATGCTATACTTACTTTTTTGTTACTATTTTGCAAAGCTTGTAGCTTAAGTGATAAGTTAATGTGCAAAATGAATTGCAAGTATTCTAAGCTACGGCTTGGTTTTATACAAAGTGTCAGGATATTTCTCAGTGCTTTTTAGTAATGAGGTATGTGTAATGAAAGCAATCCAAATGTCTTTTTCAAGCAAATGTGTTCATCTTCAAACCCAGTGTACAAAAGCAAACTTTACAACCTTCTCAGCAGTGGAACGCACTGCTGATGGTGTTTCATAAAGTATTTGGCTTGCCTGTGGTGTCTACTCATAGTTCACAGCTGTAAAAATTACTTCTAAATTAACTTTCTCCATCAATCTTAAGAAGTTCCTTATAAAGCCTCATATGTCAAGGGACATCTGTGTTTTCCAAATGGGAAGGTTGCCTCACTTACCAAGCCAGTGCTCCATCCAGAACTAATACTGTTATTAGTGTTCCAGCTGAAGGACTTGAGGGCTGAATGCAAATTTCTGTCAAACTTCATGGTGGCAGCCTTTTATGAAGGAGGCATAATCAGAACCGATCACATTAGCCCCTAATCACCAAAATCCTGGGGCGCGTCATTCATCGACACTCTCACTGCAGCAGCTGCTGAAACAAAACTGCATTTGTTAATGTTTATTTCCCCTCTCACACTCATTTTGAACTTTCAGCATGCCCATGGTACAAACACCTTATTTAGAGGTTGCCAGCCTGGAGGAGAAGCTAAATGGGAAAAGCAACCTACAGACATAGTTGGTTATTTAAGCAGAGCAGGCAAACACTCATATATTGATTTGACGAAGAGAACAGAAGCAAATCTGAAAATACGGGAAAACATCAGACACTAAGGAGGAACATGAATCACTTTTGGTTCTAGAAGGCTGAAGAACTATTGTAGGAGTAATGCAATTGAGAACTGGAAGATTTGGGTTACAGGAAGAAGAAAGTGCTGCTGAGGAGAGATCTACTAAATGGATAAAAAATTTTGTCCAAATAAAGAAGCACTGTCTTAGATATGTAAACTCAAGGCAAAAGTATTGGGAAATGAGTTGCAAAGGACTTTGCACTATCTCCTTAGGTTGTTTTTATATACATTAATTTTTATACTTGGAGTCTAGTGGCACTGTGAGATTTCCCAGTCACTTCCCAGGCTGCAGGCTTTACAGACTGTTGGGTAGTGTAAGAGTAATTCTGCTTCTTTGCTGCTAATTTTAAGTATTCGCAACAAAGTAATACATGTGTAGGTTTTACATTCTCCAGGCACTTAAAAAAGGAGATCTTTTGAGATTTGTTTGGAGATTATTCAGTGATCTTAGAATACAGCTAATATGAACTGTTCTGTAGCACTCACCACTGATTCATCCTGCTGTGCAGTACAACACAACAGGAGGTTTGTGTAATTGTGTCTATAAGTAGTGACAGTCATTTAAAAAGGGTGATATTGTCAACTCCGTCTGGGGACGAAGACTTTGGGAGGAGAGGCTATAAGGATCCAAATTCTGGGAACAGGGCCTCTGTTCTGATGCCACTCCCAGAACCTTCAGATTGCTGCCTCCTTAGAACAGCACTTTTGTTTTTATTTTTGATCTGCCAAGTAAAATAAATAGGCACATGCTGTCGCACAAGCTCAGCTTTCATGCCTGTAGGGAAGCAATACTGAAAACGAAACCAATTTCATAGGTTCAGTTTATAGGCTTAGCTTATAAAAGTTAAGGATTCCCACAGCTCCTGCACTTTGGGTACAGATTTGGGTGGTAAATATAAGAATTTTGCAAACACCTTCACAAACCACCTGCTCTGAAATTTAAACTCTATATAATTTATTACTGTAGTAATTTTTAATAACTGGAGCCCTAAAACCTTCAGTTTGCATTTATTTTCTGAGCAAAGTTATAAGTCTCTGAAATCACGGAAAGTTTTCATGTGACATTTTTGGGCTTTGAGATCTGATGCAAATGCTTCACAAGAAGGCAAAGACGTGTCTTACAGAGAGTCTGCATTCCAATAATAAATCCACGTGGCTGGAATGAAATTCAGCACTGGGGGAGCAGCTTCATGGGAAATAAGTTGTTTCTGCTTTTTAAATCACAGTGCTTATCCTCCTGAAGCAGGTACAAATACACATACGTAAGCATATACACATACATACAGTGCAGATGCACTATTACAGAATCATTTAGGCTGGAAAAGACCTCTGAGATCATCGAGTCCAACCTTTGACTGATCACCACCTTGTCAATTAGACCATAGCACTGAGTGCCACATCCAGTCGTTTCTTGAACACCTTCAGGGATGGTGATTCCACCAACTCCGCTGGGAAGTCCATTCCAATGTTTAACAACTGTTTCCATGAAGAAATTGCTCCTGCTGTCCAACCTGAATCCCCTGGCACAGCTTGAGGCCAGCTCCTCTTGTCCTGTCACTTGTTGCCTGGGAGAAGAGGCTGACCCCCACCTGGCTACAACCTCCTTTCACGTAGATGTAGAGAGTGATAAGGTTCCCCCAAGCCTCCTTTTCTCCAAGCTAAACACCCCCAGCTCCCTCAGCTACTTCTTATTGGACTTATCCTCCAAACCCTTCGCCAGCATCACTGCTCTTCTCTGGACTTGTTCCAGCACCTCAATGTCTTTCCTGAACTGAGGGGCCCAGAACTGGACACAACATTCAAAACACTACATAAACATAAGGCATAATCTTCCCCACACACACTTTTCCTCTCAGGCAGTATTTCTCCTTGGCTTTGCATCACAGAGCTATTCTCTTCAGACTGTTCTTCGTTACTGGAGGGCTCATTTGACAGTAGTTTTATGGCCAGAGGGCTCTCGGTATTTGAGGTCTCCAGAGGAGGGATTGGGCTGTTTGCCATTTCGGGCAATGCAATCCAGTTCCTCAGAGGTGCTGCATTACTGGAAGGCGCCATTTACATTCCCAGACTCACATTCACGTTCTCAGATGTCACTGAGGGCTGGCAGTCACCCCCAGAGATGTCAGGCTTTGATCCAACAGTCCTGTGTCTTTAAAGAGGCCAAGCACAGACAAGAGGCAACTGGATGGGCATAACGTCTGTGGAAGGTTTTGCATCCATTTGCTCCTGGACTTAAGGCTCAAATACTCTATCATTCACTTCTCCAGGGAACATTGATTAGCTTGTAAATTAATGGAGTATTTTCAGTCAAGAGCTCAAGGATAGAACACAGCAAAAATTACAGCATTCCTTATTATCCTATGAATATCAAAACCTTTTCTGCCTTGTTGACTAGACCTATTTCAGTTGTGATACATTAGCCTAAGTAATGAAAAGCGAGGATGAAAAGTCAAAGGGAAAGAAAAATGATACTGCTAAGATTTGCTGCACAAAGATTAGTTGCATTTCTTCTCAGTTACATTCAGCGTAGTATTTTATATAAGCTCTCTCTTCTAATTCAAAGCTAGCGTACCTGGGCTTTTTTCTTGTCTCTATTAATTTGATAGATAAAAAAAAAAAAGCAATACCTTCTTTTTTAGCAAGGTGTTGGGTTTTTGTGTTTTGTTTTGTTTTTTGGTTTGGTTTGGTTTGGTTTGGTTTGGTTTGGTTTGGTTTGGTTTGTTTTTTTTGGTAGCTTTCAATTCTCTTTCTTGAAAGAGATTTTTAAAGATACTGATATCTAGAGAGAGTGTACCGGGGAACTGGAAGCAGTTCTCCTGCATTTCCCATTTAGCTTTGGCACTGTGGAACCCATTCCTTTCTTTTGCTTGTCCTGGGTGGTAGAGGCTCTTGAGGGCACCTTCTCATTAGTTACACAGTACAGGCCACAGTTTCTGTGTGGGAGGTAAGGAGAGTTACCTTCTCTGCAAGGTGCTTGCTCTTCTTCCACAAAGGTGGGTGTGTGCCTGTATAAACACATGGATTTGGCCCCCACCTTTTGCAAACACAGCAGCTGGTTAGTAAGTAATTTCAAACACCATCAGGTCCTTAAGTAAGAGGTCTCATGATACCAGCCTTTATTTG